GATAGATAGATAGATAGATAGATAGATAGATAGATAGATAGATAGATAGATGATAGATAGATAGATAGATAGATTGATTGATTTAGTGGTGGCAATAGTCTGCTTCAAATATAGGTAGGTATATATGATTTGGTAAAATCCAAAATTAAGTGGATGTTTTCTTCCTATACAAGAAAGATAAGCTTGTAAATTACATAAATAAGACTGTTGGCATTAGACTACTACTAATTGCACTGATCTATATTAAAACATGGTTTTAATATTTCCTTTTTATTTTGCTTCTTTTTTTTTAGGGATAAATGTGGCCATCCAAAAAAGAGAAAGAAAAGTCCTACTAAACTAGACATTTTAAAAAAAGACCAAACAACTTCAACAACTCACATAAATCACGTTGATGCAGCCAAAGGGTCTTTGAAGCCAGAGGACAAATCTAGATTGTATTCACCCAGAGTAGCATTTTACAGCCCCCAGAGACGGGTTTCAGCTGAAGGTGAGGAAAGGAAAGTCCAAGACAGTTTTAAAGTTTATACAGAAGGTACTCCTTATCAATTTTCTGCTAAAAATCTCCAGTGTAGGAGCTCCCCCCAGTCCTTGGAAGCCAAAACAGAATTGAGGCATCTTTCGCCAGTTAAACACCTCAATGGAAGCCTTCCTCCTTCCCAAAATGTACAAGAACAGAATCAGTATCTCCCAATGACTGAGGAAATCTATGGGCTCTCTTCCCTCCCAGAACAATTAATACATCTCTACAGTCAGCCTGGTGCTATGCTTCAAACATCTGAACTATTTCACTCCCAGGAGCAACTCCATGCTGCAAAGTCAGCTACTTTACCAAGAAAAGGACAGTTAGTCTATACCCCTGTGATGGAGAGTATGAGCCATGAAACTTATACCCAGACATTGCCCAAAATGCCAATGCACGCTCTCTTGCAGGAACCGACTTCCAGAGATGAAACAGTGGCTGTAGATAGGCAACAAAGCTTGTCCCCCCAGACTGCCAACTGGGGCCGCTACACTAGTAGCTTGCTGGAGTCGGTTTCTGTCCCAGGAACATTAAATGAAGCTGTGGTGATGACACCATTTTCATCAGAACTTCAGGGCATTTCAGAGCAAACCTTACTGGAGCTTTCGAAAGGAAAACAGTGCCCACATCCAAGAGCATGGTTTGTGTCACTGGATGGCAAGCCAATAGCTCAAGTGAGGCATTCATTCATTGATCTCAAGAAGGGCAGGAAGACTGAGAGCAATGATACTAGCTTAGACTCAGGTGTGGACATGAATGAGCATAATCCAAGTCGGAAATTGGAGAGGGAGAAAACCTTTATTAAAAGCACGCAGCATTCTAAGGTACTTTACCTAGAAGACTTGGATCTGAGTACCATTGAATGTGGGACCATGCTTTCCACCCCGGAGGATCAAGCTGTGAAGCACATGCCAGAAGGAAGTAATGACCCCATCGTAGAGCAAGAGCTCCTGGAAGAGATGCCTAAAAGAAAAAACATGGCAAAAAAACATGAGGCCAGCCCTCCCCCTGGGAAGAAACAGGGAATACCACGTCTAATTAAGACAGACAGCAAAACAAACATCTGGAAAAAGAAAGACGAGAGACCACTCATTCCAAAAAACTAACATTACAGTGATGTTTATCTTCTGATTGTTTCATGTCCTGTAGACTTTACCTCCTCCTCTCTTATCATTTTATTTGTAAATTTGCACTGGTTATTTTCAGTGGGGCAGTCAGATTTAGGTGAGATTGCTTTTTTTGAGAGACGGAGCAGATTACATCTTCATAAAAAGTATTGTTTTCTGCAAACTAGCTCACCTTGCTTTCAACAGTTGTTATAACATCAGGATGTTTCTAAAACTATATGTTAAAGATTATTCTGTGGTGTATCTATTCATTCATTCTCTGGAAGACCCCAGTATGGAATCTCATTTACTTGCTTTGAAATTAAGCATTTACTTGCTTTGACAGGTAAATGAGATTCCTGCCTAATAAATGAGAAGTTTTGTTGATACCAAATTGCATTGGTTTAGGGGAAAGTGTTTGTTATTTTTGCAACTAGTGTCTGATAATGGACATTGTCATAATATGGTTTGATATTGTGTAGTATGGTATTTTTCATTGAAATGCCGATAGGCGATCTTGTATTTCGTATCTAATAGAACATCCTGCCTCACTATAATTCCTATATAGCTTTTTCTGGTGGGGGAGGGGAAATTAAGGACCTATTATCCAGAAGGTATTTCTAGTGTGAAGACTTCTGCCATTCCAATTTGTATTGAGCCAAATTGTGCTCCATTTTTAGGATAGCTGGATTTATATTATTGTAATGAATGCAGAGTTTGGCCCTTTATGCCCACAATGTGTGCCATTGTAAACATGGTCAAAAAGATGCCTTTTTAGATATTTCCACCAGAAACAGCATTCTGTACTAGCCTTAAAAAGACAAAAGAGGTGCGGTATTAAGCAATTTGATAATATGCCTCCCTTTTCAGCTAGCTTTTTCATAAGTCATGAAATTCAATAGTTGCTTATGAGCTGTTGAAATCTATTGGATAAATTTAGCCATAACTATAATTCAATAATGAAAAAATTGGGATGATGGGACCACTTTGTTATACCCATAATTTCTAATCTGATAATAAATCTGTAAGGCAGGAAAGGGGAACACCATAGTTTGATAGTATGCAAAATGGAAGATTTTGGAACGTTCCCTGGGGAAGGATTCCAACATGTATAGATAAGCCTTTCTTAATGAAAGTTATGGATTTTGGAATCTATATGGAGTCCTCTGGAATACATATAACAGCTCTAAATATGGTTACTTGGAATTAGATTCTGTTGATTTCAGTGGAACTTGTTTCACATAAAAGTATTCACAATTAAAAGCTAAAAATGCATACATCTCTACCTGAAATTACAAGACAACCTATTATTTTCCCCTAAACAACTTTCACCATTACCTTTTCAGTGGAGATGCAATTAAGATATTGATACGTTTGTATTACCTGTATATCTTTTGTAATTTTTTTAAATACAAAATGGAAATCTCCATCCATTTAGATTTGATGTCTTATGAGACACTTTTAAGTAGGAGAATTGGTGTAAAAATGGGAAGTGAACATATTTGGGGATAGAAGGAGGACTTGACAAAGAGGCATTAAAGATGTGGACAAATGTTAAATGGCATTAGCCATTTCTGCAAATAGGACAAAAATAAAATTTCATGCCGGACAATTATACATGTCTTTATACTAAACATGGTAAGTGTACTTTGTCAACTGATTTACCATTCACTAGAAGTATCTACTGTGTGACATAACTGGATTGTGCACTATGAACATGTTCAGGGACTCTCAATTGGGGTGTTTGTATAAATTAAATGGAAGCTGGGATTTGGCCTGTAAGACAACAGCCATCCTTAGGTTATAGAATTCATTATAGAGTTAAAACACTGATTATATGAAGAACTGATTGTAAGAAATAGAAAAGAAGGAACTATAGAAGAACAAAATCTTCACAAATGTTCATTTGTTTTTTGAATAATAAATTTGTTTCTGATAATTCATTTTGGGCTAAGAGAAAAATTGATATCCATAAGTGAATTTTCGCTAGAGAAGCCTGTTAACCAAAGTATTTTGATTTTTGCAATCAGCTAGAAAAATCTAATGATACTAATTTTGTTATCAGAAAGTTCCTAAAGTCAAAGTAAAATGAAACTTATGCAAACTAGAGGCTTTTCTCATTCATCATCTCATAATCATTTGAGGAGTGGCTTATTTCTATTGCAGTAAGGCTGTAGCCTCTGAAATCATGGTTGAAGCATTAACCACCCTATTTTTTCAGTTCAAAATTCGTTTGTCTCATTTATATTGAAATAAATAGAAAAATTTGTATACCAGGAACTTATAGGTTCATGGGGGACAGGTGGCACAGAAATCATGTTCCAACTTATAGCAAGGTAATGGTCTTTCTGAGTGTGAACAGAAAGTACCCTACCTTGCTAAAAAATCACTTTTAATTATGTGTGATCACAAAAAAATTCTATTAACATTTCTGAGTTATCTTTTTAATATTCTCATAGGGCTTTTTTGTTTTGAAATAATAGAGAGAAATGAATTATATAAATAATAAAAAGGCCTTCTTACATTTGTTACTATGAATGGAAGTATTAGTAGCATTTTAATCAAAAATCCAAGATTTGTCGGAAGAAAAATGAAGTAGTTCTGAATGACAACATTTATTGAAAGGTCATAGTGTGGAACCACACTACTACCTATGTTTTGGGTTTGCTTTTCTTTAAAAAAATGTAAAGAAAAAATGGAACTTTGAAAGGCACAATGATACAGAAATGATGGATTTTGAATAAAATATTCTAGTTGGTTTGTCTCAGCTTATGAGATTTGAATTCTATTTATTTGCAGGCCATAATGTTTGAACTGATGGGAAAGAAATACCCTGAGGATTTGGGTTACTTTTACTGGACTAGTGTGATACGCATACCATAGTCTGCAGTGGTGGATTTTTAATGAAAATATGTATGTGCTTACAGAATATATGTGAGACAAGATGGACATTTTCTTCAGTTTGGAAATAAATGGAGCCAATATTAATTGGCTGCATAGAGATGATAAACTCATTTGTTATCCTGTTCTTGCATTGAATCCTACAATGGTAGTACATCCAAAGGCTTTTAAGAAATACTTTACATTCAAACATTTTACTGTCTCATCTGCAGCTTGATAATTAGGCCATGCCAATTTTTTAAACTTTAAATTTCCAAACATTAGGGGTGCTCAAAAGTTATGACATGCCTTAGGGATTGTAAAGATATTTGGTTACTTTAATTTAGAAGTAACTACATGAATATAATTTTTTAATATTTTATTTTGTCCAGAAAAATCTTTTACCGCTTTAATTGTTCACATTATTGGTTCTTAGTAGATTGTGCATAAAAGGGTAAGACTAAGAATATTTCAAATTTAATCTAAGCACAAATGCCTCTCTGGGTATCTAGGATATATAATAATGACTTAAATATAATGTATATTAAAATATTTTTGGAAGTCACTTTCAGAAAAGAAGTGCTTTTCCCTTTATATGTGACACATGCACTGAAATAGCACCAGACATTTTAAGCGTTTTGAAATATTAAATAATTTTCAAACAAAAAATGTTTTTGCCATTTTATATTTAAACAGCAGTGATAGAATTATGCCTAGTAAACTTGATGGTGGTATTCCTCTTAATGCCTAATCAATATTTCTGAAATAATTCATTGTTTAGCATTTTGTATCAATTAGTTGTATTGGCTGAAATTTAAGCTAATTTTGAAAATAACAAAAAGAATTGTCACATAAAAGAACTGTACATTTCCCAATTGCGATACACTGTTCTTTAACTTTAAAATAGTGGTGTATAACTCTTCAGCATATGTAGAATCTTTGTGAGTTTTTAAAAATGTATTTCTACGTCATACCGGTTCAGTTTTACTGTATTGCATGCATGTTCACAGAGCAGTTCTATGTATGCATGCTTATTCAGAAGGAAGTTCTTTATAGTTCAATGGAATTTCCTGCTAAATAAGTACATGTTACATATGCTTATAGTCTTAAAGAGTATAGTTTGTATTGGAAATCCAATTTTGTGAGCAGCAATGGCTGCAACAGAATCTGAAATAGACATGGAAACAGTCGCCACTGAAATAAACCCTTTAGGACAGATGTTATTAAAAGTTGAGATATTCTCTAATAGAGGAGCTGCTAAATATTCAACAATTCCAACCCCACGTGATATGGAGAGATGTTTAGATAAATTTAGACTCCATATTTACAAAATTGGCCATTAAGATTACAAAATCATTTAGATCACTCTTGATGCATTGGGGCTCACCTGTTCATCCTGCCAAGTAGAGATCTGACGTTTGCCCCTCTCTTTATCATTCGGTGCAGTTATTATTTTTACCTACCACCAAAGTAGACAGCCCATTTTCCATTGTTGCTATTTAAGAGACTAGCTTGATACTTTCTCACAGATATGCTATGCCACTTTTAAATCGCTGTAGTGCTTTGTGTTAAGGGAAAGAAACACAGAGTGGCTTATTTCAAAAGAATCTCACAGTACTAATTAAGACTAGTCATTTAATGATGTAAAGGTTGATAATCTAATCCACTGCAGAAATCGGAGCCCAGCTCTTACCAAGATATTAGCCCTTCCTTACTAGATTTTTGTTGTAAATAACGAGAATAAAGACTCCTTTTTCACAGCATATTTTAAATTTGTATTTCTGGTTTATTAATGCTGATCCTTTTCATGTTTTTACATTTTTCTACGAGGAATAAGCTGTTCCTGGCTTGCAACTACTGCAGTGCCAATGGATCGTCTATATCTTACACTTTATAAGACACTGCTAAGTTTAATTTAAAAAATCTTACCAATAACTTTGTAATTCTCGATTGTTTAAAAAACAAATTGATTGTTGCATCTCATGGAGAATGTGTTACAGCTATTCACTGTACGGCCACACAAGTGAATACAAGTATCAGGGACTCTTGAAAGGAGCAGCTTGCAGAAATTGCTAAAATGCCATGCTTCAAGAAGTGAGTTAGGCAGTGCTAGATAATACCTGGAGGTGCTACTGCTTCAGAATGACAAGCTTGGAAATAATGAATCTAGGTTTAAAGGATTGTGGCAGGCTTGACAGTCATGCATGGTGAACCCATTATATTGAGAGTTGGAAATATTGTTGATCCATAGGGATGTTCCAGTATTAATTATAATCTTGGTTAGAAGACCTGAAGTGGCATATATGAATGCCTGGTTCAAGTATTCCCATTATTTTATTCCACATTCTGACATTGTTCCATGATCATGGTGACTTTGCAGTTCTGATTGTATGTACACCCTGAATGTATATGGTGTTTTCTCCATAAAAGAAAATATATCTTTGAATATAGCATATGGTTCTTAAATGTGCATGGATTACTAGTGCATCACTTCAAATCCAACATTCTTATTTTCATCCATATTCTGAGTTTTTTTTTTAAACCATCGCAAATACTAAATTTAGTAATGACAGCACTTGAGCAATCCAGAAATATGTATAGCTCTTTATTAACATAAACTGAAAGAAGTAACAGGATAATACTTGGGGACTTTTACATAACTCAACTTTAATACATTAATATGGATGGCAGTTTTGTAAAACATTTGTTCCAGTTTGTAGGCCATTGAAATTGTACATCCAATTAGTTTGGTTTATATTTTGCTATACCTGCTATTGTTCATATTATAAAAGCAATATTTCCTATTACATTTATTTGCTGGTTCATACTAGAGCTACCATTCATGATTAAATAAAACATTTTTATTACAATGCCATTACAAGAGCAATTTATCTCTTTGTAGGGGATTCCACTTTTATCGGCAAGAAAGAAATGTTTTTTTATTAATTATCTCTCTCTCTCCCAAGGGACACAAACAATGAAGATGCTAATAAGTATAAACTTAGTTTAGAATTTGGATTAACATTATTATTCAGTTAAAACAATAAAACAGTTACCAAATGTAGCAAGAAAAATATTTCCACAAAAATGGGTAGTTACCGTTTAAGCTGAAATTAGAGTTTAAATCAATTAAGAAACGGAATTGGGACAAATAGTTGAGTGACAAATGGTTGGATCTTGATCTTTTTATATATTCAAAAATATAATTTAGATATTTAATCTTAAAGAAAAAGTTTAATTTACTGCAGCCAAAAAAATCCTTTGAGACTTTTTTTAATGCTGATAAAACACTATTTTATGTAAAACTTTATTGAACATCAAACCAAATAAAAATGATTTTCACATTTTTTAAATTTATATAAAAAACTAAAGCATCTGGATCCTTTGTACATCCAAACAACTACAATAGAATCTATTTTCTTAAAAAAATATGTAGCGTTACAATTTTAATCGGTCTTTCAATTTGCATATAATCTTAAATTAGTACCAACTACTTTATCGGTAACTGTATCAGCATGAGCCTTTGGGATAAGGACTAAACCCTTCATATGTCTAGAAAATTTCAAATGTCTTGGTTTTTGAGTGTTAAGCAAGCTAGAACCAGCATCTCTGGTACAAGGATAGCTGAAACCATTCAATGTTAAATTTTGCTCAGTCTCTGCAGAATTTTTTTTCTTATTCCAGTTTCCTTGAAAACTACTTTGAGATACCTCTGTGACATGGTGAGGCTTTATTTGTTTGATAGACAATCCAGTGCCTGGTATAAAAAGATCCAGCCCAGGCTGCTTTGCAAGGAGGTGCTTTGCTTGAGACCCTAATTGATTTACTTTGTCTTTGCTTGGTGCCGTCTCCCAAGTTAATGGATTATATACAACATGGTCATCAATAGGGCATGCATTTTCTTTCTGCAACCGACGATCAATGCATTTTCTGTGGAACTAAATAAAATACATAATGTATTAAGCCTTGGTAATTTTCCGCCAACATTATTTATGTATCTAGCATGAGTCAAATATTACATGTGAAATGAAATAATACATCTGAGCTGCCATTCAGTTCTTTGAGGCAAGTAAATGCCATGATCGAAGAGACATCTCTGATGTCTGCTAACATCCATATTATCTCTGTGTCATGCATTTTAAGAGAATTGTTAATTAAGGTTTGTTGGAATTGCTAGGAAACAACTAAGAAGTTGCTGAGTCGCTTCCTTTGAAGCAATATAAATTGTATTTTTATGTATTCAAAAGCTCAAAATGATCATTCAAAATGAGTTATGAGGGACGCTAAGAATAATAAAAGCTCATTTAGAAGGCTTTAAAATAAAATTAGTTCTTGAAGGTAATGTTATTTAATAGTCTTTAGAACTGTAAACACAATGGGTCACAGATTCAGCAAAATACTTCATACAATATTTGAACAAGCTAGTTTAAGTATAGATTTTGAATGAAGCTTCCTAAGGGGAACCAGAGCCGTTGAGAGGGAAAAGGCTCCCATTTCTTGGATGTGTTCAAACGGGCTAGATTGCCATCTGGGATACTTGGATTTGGATTCATGCAAAGCCTATAATGGGACTTAAGCATCTAAATGGCATCTACCGTCTCTAATGATTCTAAAAATATCTGAAAATAATAACTGAAAAATACCTCAGTAGTGAATCTTGCTCAAGTTAAGGGTAGCCACACAGCAATAGCCAAGTTTATAACGGAGTCTAGGAAAGTGAAGTAGCTGATTTACCACAATAAATATTTATTTGATTTACTTGGCTGTCCATCTTGCAAATGGTTTCTTGGTCTCTTGCAAAGAGCTGGAGTATGCCCCTTTTGTTGGATCTAGTGGGGTGGGTAGAGCCAAGGTGGCGCAGTGGTTAAATGCAGCACTGCAGGCTACTGCTAGATCAGCAGGTCAGCGGTTCAAATCTCACCGGCTCAGGGTTGACTCAGCCTTCCATCCTTCCGAGGTGGGTAAAATGAGGACCCAGATTGTTGGGGGCAATATGCTGACTCTCTGTAAACCGCTTAGAGAGGCCTGAAAGGCCTATGAAGCGGTATATAAGTCTACTGCTATTGCTATTGCTATTGCTAGACGGTTTCCCTATCTTGTCATTGTAAGAGCTGCCAGTGGCTGGAACTATCCCAATTTCCCTCAAAAGAGGCTAAAAATCTGCATCTTATACACTGAATACATCATTTTTTGCCTCCTGAAACCAGCCCCCTTCACCAAAATAGCCATGCATAACCTTTAGGAGGCTTCTAGAGTGCTCCTGGGGCCTGGGAAGGGCAGAAATGAGTGAAAAATGGGCCGATTTTTGCTCAATTTTGTCCCCCCCCACAACCCCCAGGAGCACTCTATATAAGTCTCCTAAAGGTTATGCATGCCCTTTTTTGACAAAAAAACGCGAAAAATGGGCCGTTTTTGGGAGGTCTGCAGAGTGCAAAACCTTTTTTTTTAATTTGCCTCTTCAAAATCTTGGTGCATCTTATACTCCGAAAAATATGGTATGTGCAAATGTTACAGTATATCCTTACATGTACAGTATCAGTGCCTTTTTCTCCCCCACCCCCACTTCACAAACAGCACAAATAAAACAAAATAAGCATACATTAATGAATTAAAAATGCCTTTAAAATAAGGTAACCTATTTACAGAAGCAACTGAGCCTCATTTACATAGCCCAACCATTTTTTTCTCCTACATAAAATGCAATAGCATAGAAATGCATATTTCCCTTCCTCCTTATAGCCAAAGTAGCAGGAAAACGAGAAGATGGTGATAGGAAAAGGAACCCACACTTGGGAAGGAAGGAAAGAAAGAAAAGAAAGAAGGAGTGACAAAACTGGATGCATAGGAAGAATAATGCAGGAAAAAGAGAAACTTAAGCTAATATTTAGACTAATTTTCAAAAAACATTGAACATTGTACAACCATATCTGCAGAGACTAGTGATTTTCATACCCGACCTGGAGGAGCCTTTGGGGGAGATCATCCATTTTATGCCCACAGCTACTCTGATGTAGGTTGGGATGAGAGAGTGACTCTTCCAAACCCATCCAGTTAGTTTACATGGTCGAGGCTGTACTTGACTAAGAGTCTTGCATTCTACAGTCTAACCTGGATTTAGTAAAACCCAATGTAGCTGTGACAAGTATCTTAACACCAAAGGAATGTTTAGAAACTATAAATGTGATCTGATTGGGAACAAGGCACCATTTTATCCTGAAGTAGTTCATATTCTGGAAGTGGCTGAGGTTCTAGTTCTAAAATTCAGGGGAATTACGATCACTGACAAGATCACTGACTCTTTACCACTAATGATTGAAACAGAATTTGATTTCACAAATAGATGTTTCAGACACCAGACTCTGCTTGCTAACGCTGTAGCCTGCCTCAGTGCAAAACAATAATTAAAAAGGTATGTCACAGCAGCATGCAGGCTTTACATTATATTACACATACGTTAAATCGTTTCATTTTTTTTTGTTGCGATGGCTTGAAAAATCTTCTATCAGAAATTAACCTGGGTTTCAGAAAAACAACTAAGCTCCTGCTCAAACAGATCTTCCGTTTACCTTGTGATTACATGGTAAGGTCCTTGTGACTTGGCCAAGGCAGAATATCTTCAAACAGAGTCTACACTGTAAACCTGGATCAAGTAAAGGGCTGCCCTTTCTAATCACCATATTGGGTATTGAGTTCACCACCTGCTGTGGTATGCAGCTGAATCTGAAAGAGATGTAACAGAGTATCTATTCCATATGAGTTTATGCATTTATCTGATTTTAAAATCTTATTTCAAAGAAAGAGATACAAACAGTGCAGGTACAGGTACTTCTATTTGGTCACTAAGCAACCATTCTGAAAGTTATGACCATTGCAGTGTTCCTGTGGTCATTCACCCTTACGACCAATTGCAGGATGTTGCAGTGTCCCCCATTTATCTCCCATCCCTTACACCGGGTCCCCACATGCCTTAGGCCTGCTTCCCACCTCTCCGGTCCCCAGATGCGCCTCCTTACCTATATCTCATTGATCTCCAAAGCTCAGGAGGGAGGGAACAAAAGATTTGCTTTGCTTCATTCATGTTAGCAAAGGAAAGGAAGCCTCTTCATTATTTGGATCCCATAAGGCTCCTTTTTTTTTTTTGAAGCCGGCGCTTATGCAATCAGACAGCTGAAAATTGCTTTGGCCCAGCAACCCAGGTGGCCTGAAATGGAGTGCCCTTTCCCACCCTAACTTCCTGAGCTCCAGAGATCATAGTATGCAATTGTGACAGGATGGGGAAGAGGCCAAGCCCTACAGGAATCTGAAGGGGAGGGGAAAGGCCTTCAGGGACTCGGGGATGGGGAAGGAGGCGCAAGGGCTGTGGAGATCCTAGGGGATGGAAAGTGGAGCACAGGATGTCTCAGAGTGTGTAAGCCCTGGGGCAAGGGGTTGTGCGCTTGCACTGGGCCTCCCAGTGCCTCGGCCACCTGAGAAACCCTGTACTCCAGTTATTGTCCTTTAGTGGTCATTTAAAAAACGGCATCAAGGAGAGAGTAAGTAGGAATTGTTAAGCAAGATCATTTCACTTAATGGCCATCACCATTTGTGAACATGATGAGCAAGTAAGTTGAGGATTATTAGAAAAAAATAAAATCTTAAGATGAAAGATTTGAATGGATTTCATATAAATACCACAGACTCATACATGACAAAAAGTTACTAATAATGTCAGTTATAATACAGGAATATTTGTTTCACTGGCACTATGGAAGCCCACTGGGAATAGATTACACTTCTTTATAAATACCAAGAAATATTAAAATAAAATGGATTAAAATGTATAATTAATATAACTGCTTTCTTAAATCATACCTCTCCTTTAAGTTTTTTAATTAATAAACACTGAAATGAATTTCATTGAATTTTTCATCTTACTGTTCCTTGTTTTTTTCTTCTATAAACTTCTCTTCTGGATTAATCTTTGGATTTTCTTCTGTTGTTGACAGTTGCACTTTTGGTTCAAATGATTTCCATCTCTGATTCCTTTTCTGAAGTAGAGACATAAAGAAACTAAGCAACAGGACATATTGCTTAAAGGGAATTATTAGCATGTATCATTTCAGTAAAACCGATCGCAGAAAAATGAATTCAGTTTACATAAAAAACGATATTTGAAAAAAAGCTGAATAAATACTAATTTCACACATCACTGCTATATGTTTTGCTTAGAAGAGAAGACAAAAATCAGCAATAATGTGAACGGACTCAGTCATAGTGGTGATAGAGACCAAGGGAAGACCCAAAAAGCCAGGTTGGGACAGATTATCCTGGAGAAGGTAGAGTGATCTCACATTGTACGATCACTAAGTGTTGATACCAACCTGATGACACAGGGTAACAGTTTATTCTAATTAGTAAGTAGAACACAGGCTCTGAAAAAAGAAGGAGGTCAAATAGGATGGCAGATTCCAGTTTGTATAAATAATTCTGATCCAGGATTGATATTAGCAAGTTACACACTTTCCTTCAGCCAGGCCTGTCTCAGTATTCCTGACAGAAGAGTTGAAAAATTATGTAGGTTATATGAGCAAATAAAACTGCACCAGAGCATACCAATACTGTCAATGTTATAGGCAAGTTAAACAAAGGTAAAAATCCCCAAACCAAACAGTAAATAAATTATACAAAGCTTTCTTCAACTGAAGCCTTCAGGATGAAAAGCCAGCTGCTTTTTAAAATATCTTTAAATATTTACACAAGACATTTCAAAATATCTTTTGAACTAGATAAAATAGCTACTTTTATAGAGTTTTAGTTCAATGAATCCTTAGAATTATAGAGCCTAGGTGGCGCAGTGGTTAGGGTGCAGTACTGCAGGCCACTTCAGCTGACTGTTATCTGCAGTTCAGCGGTTCTAATCTCACCGGCTCAGGGTTGACTCAGCCTTCCATCCTTCCGAGGTGGGTGAAATGAGGACCCAGACTGTGGGGGCGATATGCTGACTCTGTAAACCGCTTAGAGAGGGCTGAAAGCCCTATGAAGCAGTATATAAGTCTAACTGCTATTGCTATTGCTATATTCTAGGATCTATGATTTTAACATCTTCTGCCCATGAGGGAGAGATCAAACATAATAATACTTTCTTCTCAACCTTGCTTCCAGAAAAGCAGATAAGGAGGCATTTACTCTGCATGACTTGAGAAGCTACATTTCTACACAATGAATACCTTGCTTTTCCCAGAGAATTGTAAAAAGCTACATCAACTGCCCCAGAATATTTACTCTCATTTTAGGGAGAAAGAAGCAGGTTAGAGAGGAAGGATAATTGGGAAAATTTTGTTTTTAAAAAGCTGTATTTCACTCCTATTGTGTTCATTCAGAGGCTATGATTCTCCACAACCAGCAGTGGGATGCTCAACTCTGGGTTTGGGAGGAGTTGTATTGCTCAACAGAACTAGGCTAGTGGGCCACTGGTTAAGTTAAAAGCATCACAGCTATTAACCAAGGCATGGTTGAAAGGAAACCCAATATTCTGTTCAGAAAAGGAAAGCATCTAAAAGAAGAAGGCTTCAAGTTAATCTTGTTTGCTGTAGAACCTCACATGCATATCAACTCAAAATATAAAACTGCCAGAGAGATCTTTATTGGATTGAAACAGTGCTTAGAATCTCATCTTTATTTTGATTTTTAGACTACAGTACAGTACAAGAATATATTCATCACTGTTTAAAAACAAGAAAATAAAATAACCAAATCATTCTTTGATACAACTGATTTACAGACAAGGCATAATAGGAAGAATTAAGTTTCCTTTACTATTGCTTGCTTTTAAAACTGCTGTATTAAGGTTTTCTTTTTTAAGGGGGGGGGGGAATTTATACTATACCTCTCGGAAAGAAAAAGTATGTGATGGATGACAAAAGCTTTGAAAACATCCATGGCATAGATGGTAATCACTGCATTCAGTACACCTTGAAATAATAATATTAATATTAATAACATTTATACAAACCTTCCTTAAAACAGTATTGTTTGATTTAAAGAAATGTTCTACTTTAAAATAAAATAGATCAACAAGCTAAAATTTCATGTTCATAAACACAAGCATTTGCAGAGGGGCAACTGAGCAGAAAGTGAAGAAACTGCCTCATGATGTCATGACACCAATTTTATGACTTCTGTACTTGCACTAAATGTCAGAATGCAATGACAATAGGGTGAAACTGCTTCGTTTTTTCATGACTGTGGCTCATTGTGGACACCTGTGCTAAGATGGAAAGACTTACTCTAAGTGTATAATCTTGCATTACATACTGAAATAGTGCAATGCCCACAGTGGTTTAGAAGCTTTTCATGCTCTTGGATGCTATCAAATTGATTTATATTTTCTTCAAATGAAATGAGGAAAGTTGGGGGGGAAAACCCATTCTCAAGCAGACACTAGGTGGTGCAAAAGTCTTTTTTTCTCTTCTGATTTAATTGGCACTTTTGATTCATTGAGGAAAAATAATTTTGATATACAGTATGTATATATGCAGTTGTATAAATATATAGTTAACATTAACATTAATTGGACATCTAAATGTTTACATTTTTAGTGTCAATCATATTTTTAAAGAAACTAAAATCTAATCATTTCCTATTATGGAACTTTAAAAATAGTTGCAAATGTCACATTGAGTTTTAATATTTCCTAATGGAAATCTCACCTAACCAACTATATAAATTGATATTATTAATGTGAATAAAATTTGAGTCCTATGATTCATAATCATAGATAGAGTTTTGTTACATCTTTTTGTTAGGGAGCTAGTTGTACTGGGTGCCAGAGAGTTTATTCATTAGGCAATAAGCTTAAGACTTCACCAATAAACTTTCATGAAACAATTTTGAGATGTGGCATTATTTAAATATATGAACTTAGATGAAAATTTGAGCTAATAATTGACATGGCTACTCATAATGATCACAAAGGTTTCATCTTTGATTCCTTGCAGAAAAAATGCTTGAAATATTACAAATAAATTGATTCAGGTGTAACTAGTTAAATGCCTTAAATACTTACTTGTAGCAATTTCCCTCAATGGGTAGTACTCTGCAATTATTGCAAGGGATTCCAAGGTGTTTGTTAAGACTTTGCTTTTCTGCTGCAGTCACAAGTTTTTTGCAGTTTCTGAATTCTTCCAAGATAAGCTTCAGTGGTGCAAAATTTTCCCTGCATAGAGGGCACTTTACTAAAGAATTTTTCTCTAAATCTCTCTGATGATCAATCAAAATTTTCATACACACTATATGTATGTTGTTCCCACAACCAAACCTGTGTACACAAAAAAATTACTTAATTATTTTTTGAAATGCTACATAACTTAAATACATTTAATATTTATTTTAATAAATTTAAATTTCACTAGAATTACATTATTTTTCATTTGTTGTCATGCAATGGTGGGTTTTTACCGGCTCGCATGCACAGAAGCGTCTGGGCAGGTGGACAGAGCCTCTTGCCACTGCCACTACCAATCCAGGCCAATCCGGGAGCAACCCACCTCTGTTGTCATGGAATTTTATGTATCAAATTCTTAATGCCAAATTGTCGGGTAGTAAATACTTTTCTGGGAGCGCATATACAACTCTTATTAAAAATAGCGAAATTCAAGATGATTCATTAGAAAAGGAATGGACAATATTTTAATAATAGAAAACCATACTAGGACCATGATGGGAAAGTTGTGTGATGCAAAAATAATCTCCAAATTAAAAAAAAAATTAAGACAATTAAAAAAAACCCAAATCCTTAAGGGCTTTGCAAAAACAATGTAATTAATAAAAATAAAGAAACATTTAAAAAATAGAATCTGCCACAAATATATGATGGCATAATCTATATCAGGCTCTAGAGTCTAGAGAATGCAGAATAAGGGACTGACGTCACAAGTAGCCTGTATAGAACTTGGGATTCCATCTACAACTCTGCTAGTTATCTGTAACATGATCTACCAAAATTTGGTCAGATATTTATTTAAGAAATCCTGTTAGTTCTGTATAAAAGCAAAGAGGAGATAACACAGTTTTATCAAATGCTGAAAAGTATGGTTTTTTTCTTCTATTTTTCTGTACCAGTACTTGGTAACTAAAGAATCATAGACTGCTTTTAATGTAGAAAAAGATTAAAGTTTAAATTCCCAATAAAAAAAGAATACTTTTCCTAGTTATCTACTTACGAAAATAAACAATTTTAATACTGATGCAGGGCTTTCACAGCCAGCATCAATTTGATGACCACCAATCTGAATAGAATAAAAAAAAATATCCTACAGTAATGTAAAAACCAACACAGATGATATTTACATAGAAAAATCTAACCCTGAAAGGAGAGAAATATCACTAAAATTCTGACAAAGAATACTACTAGTAAATATATTTGTGAGCCTGAAAATTGTGAGTCCAAATATCAAATAGCCTCTCCAGGGATCAACTTGTGATTTTCCAGATATTGTTGCCAATCTCACAGCAGCAGTGCCTGCCAAACAAGGCCATTCTGAGGAGTGCTGCAATCTTTTGCTAGTAACACATGGAACACTTCTACTAGAGTAAAGTGGAATTATGGACATGAATCCAAATGAGGCAGCAATATGCTTCCTAAAACTCCCCCCAAACATTATTTCTTACAAATGTATAGGAAAATGTAGGAAAATGACATCAGTCAAACTGCATGATTACAAATATGTTACTTTCTCCTAGCAATTTAAATCCAAGAGGGACTCACCTGCAATAAGTGACAGGAAGCATTTTTTTGAGTAGCGTCTCCTGGCAAACAGGACATATATCCTCATTATCAATATTTTTTTGTTTAACATACCCATCATCAACTGTTTTCAATTCCTTAAGAGAATGGGCAATTACTTTTACTTGGGGAGAAAGTTGTGGACTTTGAAGCAGATAGTTAATTTCTCGTTCTAACAGACCAATCTGTAAAGCATCTGTTGAAGAAAAAAAAATAACTTTAATATATATAATGAAGCCCCAAAATATACAATACGTTTGCTTGTTGCAAATTCTTGCCCTCCCTCCCAGCTACGGGATGATCATCTGAGTGATGGTGAAAATAGACGGGTTTTCTGGGGGATGCAAATACAACATCAAATGTTCCATGCAATGAATTCCAAACAGAAATTAAAATGACAAGATTAACTTATACCTACATTCATGGTCTCTTGGAAGTTTGAACTTTTTTAGTAATAACCTAAAATTAAAAAGCAAATTAAATATAATTTATTCAGTAACTTTATGATTTAAATACAATTGGCTTTTCAATTTTAAAGGCATAACATAAGCTCAATTATGCAAAAATGCTAGACAGTTCCCTATCTTCCTTAAAGTTGTATTTCATCTGTATGACATTTACTAAAACTTGTTTGTTTACAACTATCATTTATATTTCTTATTGTACCCTGTAACCCATAGCAAACAAAGGAATTATTTGACCCTCTTCCCCATATTCAACCCTGTATCTTCTCTTTTCCCTGATGGATGTTTAGGAGCTCTCCTTATGCACAGATTTAACTGGATTTCCAAACCAGATATTTCCTTTTTTGATACATGCATACTCCCCATATCCCTTTTTTTTAAAATTAAAGAAAAATACAAATGGAATATTGAAAAGTTCCAGACCTTCAATATTATCTTTATTTCTAAAAATGCCTCGGACCCAACTGAATTCCCTGAACATTTTGTCTTCCAATACTAAAAAAAATCAATCTAAAACTTTATAGAAGAAAACTTTATAATTTGTCTCTACTTTTTTCATACACAAGCCTTTTTTCTCATCTTTCAACATCCTCTCCTTTCCTATCTTCTTTTGTCCTTTTATCTGTCTATTTTACCTTATCTTGATTCCTCCCTCCCCAATGGCAGAATATCTTATTTTTAAAAAGCCAAATAACATTAAGAGGCACTGCAGAATGTACACTAAAAATAGAATGAGAAAGTTGTATCATTTTACATTTTAATAAAAACAATTTACCAGCAGATATGTTTACAAAGGTCCTTCTCTTTCAGAAATACTGAGCAGCTGCATGAATGCGGGTTCCCCAGGGAAACCTTATACCAAAACAATAGAAAACAATGCTTAATAATTATACCACAGCATTTATAAAATGGAGAAAAATGAAAACTAAGATGCAGAAAGGCATCATTTACTGAAATTATATATATTTTACCCATATTATCTATACGGTGTATCTGGAATAGTACTAGAAAACAGAAATAATAGTACTAGAAATAGTGTAACAACTACTTCTCTTCTAATGTACTATTTCTTCTAATGTACTATTTCTACTATTTCTCAGAAAAACCTATTTACATTCACATAGTTTCAAAATATATGATATCAAAATCTATCATTCATTGAAACAGAAGAAAAAGACAATCAGTCTCTTTTTTCTTCTAAAGTCCTCTAAAGTCCATTAATGACACCAAAATGTACTTCTGTAAAGCTATAAGTATATACATACAAGTTTGCTTCAATGATTAGGGTGTGAACTGCATATTATGAATCATAGGTTTTAACTACTAAAGCATAACAATAAAAGCTTTTTTTGATCAGATACTCCCATCAGCATGAGAAATTTTTCCTCCAAACTAGAAATGTTGTGACGTACATCAAATTCCCACTTGAAAAGCATTGTTCATTATGTCCCACTTTTGCTCTGTGTATGCTATACAGAAGACTAGACTATTTCTATTCTTTTTCTTTCAACTTTTCAATAATTTCATATTGCAAGTACGGAATATATTTAGCACCTTGCACCGTACGTTTTTAATCTCATATAGGTAGTCCTTGACAAACAACCATAATGGAGCCTACCCATCATGATTTTGAGTTGTGAGTCATAAAACAGCTCAGTCATTTGACCAATCCAATTTTATCACCATTTTGGGGACAGTCAAGTTAACCCAATTGTTAAGCAAGCCAGTGAATATAAATAACAGTTTTACAAAACTGTTGTAAAATGCAGTCATGAGACCATGGGACACTGCAAATGGCAATAAATATAGCTTAGCTGCTGAGTGCATAAGTTGGTCATGTGACTAAAGTGGAGAGTGTGACCATCAGAACTTCAAACTAACCCCCAGGTAGGTCTGTCATAACTTTGAACTGTCGCTATCTGACCAGTTGTAAAATGAGGACTACCTGTGTTACAGAATTTCAAAATGTGACTTGAAGCTGCTCATCGATAAGGAAACCAGAATATGCCCATTGGAGAAAATGTGAATGATATTTTTAATACTTTTAAAATTAGCTCTAAGCCTAGATTTGAGAAGTTTGTTGTATGACTGCAGTTTTATGACACAAGATGTGTAGCTTTATCCCTTGCAAGTATGGAGAATAGAGCAACTAGTACTGTCCCTGAGGAGAAACAAAACTGGCAGCAGAAAACTGCTTATATCTACCCAAAAAGAAAAAAAGAACCCAAAAAATAATAATGAGATAGGATCCCAATAGGTACCTCAACTAGCAGGAGGAGAGAAAAATATGAGCAGGTTTGCTACAAAGTGTAATATAAGAAGTCCAATACGGAGTTTTCCATTCTATAGTAGTAGGTGTGTGTTTGTGCATGGAGCAGCAGTCTCTCACTAAATGGGATAATAGATATATCTCTGTGGGCCTATCAGTTGGGCTGGGATAATATTAAAAGCAAGGAGATTTGTGGAATGACTATACAGTGGCAAATGCTACTTGTCAAGAGACAGGGCTTCAGAGAAAACTAAGTGGCTCATGACATGAAAGACAACAGCAGTAATTGCACATCAGTAATCAATTAGTTTTATATTTAGGATAACTTATTTTAGTTTTAATCAAATCAAGGTAAAATCAGCAGTATTTCTTGGCCATAGGTTTATAATATCCCTTCTCTAATAGCAATGCTGCTATAATCCCCCCTAAATCAACAAAAGGAAGCATTTAATCAGCATTTCACTTGGTTTATGAACTTTCTGCATAAGCTGTAAAAACTTGGCTGTTCCGGCAGGCCTGGGGCTGTTGACCTCACTGTTGAGGTCCAGCCCTGATCAGAATGAATGTA